AGAGCTTGGGCGACCTTGCCGCAGCCATGTGAGCTGTGTATCATATCCTCTTACTTTATTTTTGCCAGCTAGTACTGCGAAGACATCACAACAGATAGAGTTCATGCCCACCCCCTTTGAACACAAAGCTTTCATCCCAATGTCTACTGCTGTAGTCTACCTCAAAAAAGGCATTACAAGACCGTCTGCAAGCATCAAGGTTACCGTTCCCAAATGAGAACCCACCCGATCTATCGTATGCATATTTATCCTCATCCTCGGTAGGTGTTTCAAACGTTGAGAATCCGCGCATGTTTCCGTGCCGGGGTGCTGCTCATCGCAGCCGTCGATCCGCTCGAGCAACGCCTATTCTCCCATGGATGATTTCGCCTCGTCTACACCGCTCGCATCTAGAGGCAACGTCACGCTATGATGATGCTGGTCGCAAGAGTTGTGCGAGCTCGCCTTGCATGATTCCTGCGGCAATGCAAGGCAAAGTGGTGTTCTCGTTTTTTTCTGTTTTTAACGTGTCGGAACTGTCGAATTTCACTGTCGTACCTTTCTGAGAGAGAAAATTGAAAATTGTTCCCATCTGATGGTACTTGCTTTGCGCAGAGAGTTGGCGGTCGGTGAAGGTGTTCTGCAGTTCGCGAGCAAGACGAGCCTGAGGGATGCGAACGCGCTGTTGGTGGCATACAAGGTGAGATCAGAAGTTGCGGCAGTCACAACAGCATGGGCTGGGGTGGGCGTTCGTGTCCACGCTTGAGAGAAAGAGCGGCCTTGGTGTGAACTCGGATGGCCGCTGGGCATGAGAAGGGCAGGCAAACTGGGGAGTGCTTGTCCTCCCTCGTTTCTCGTGTTTCCGGGGGTGATTGTAGTCTTAGTCTTAGTCTTTGGCTTGTGGTTGTGAGGTTCATGGCATAGTCCGTTCACTGTATTTGGAGTATGCTTCCGCTTTCTCCAGGGATCGCGTCGAGTGGAGTGGTAGGGCTGACGACCGTGTTGCGTGCAACCCCCATTTGGAACCGACCCTTGCTCCCAAGCAGTTACAGCAAAGGTTGCTTCCAACATGTGCGGATAACATTGACTGGGCCCGTGTGCACGTCGTTGGTGGCAAAAGGGAAGGGAGGGGCCCATGATAGTGTGGACGGAAAATGAAGTAATTGTACTGGGGTGCACCTCGAGGGAGGGAGCCATCCGCCCGGGGCGGGGCTGTACTGTACTACATCAAACCAACGCGACCGCTCATGCATTGGGTGGTACTCATGAACGTCCTAAATACTGTTTCATATGAGACGGGTGCCGGGTGTCCGTGCCTCGACCAGGGCGTTTTTCCCTAAATTATTGGCGAAAGAGGTATTTTTTGTTGCTGGTCAAGTGTGTTACTCTTCGCCGGCATCGCTCTGTCTTATTTGATTATTACTTTCTGCCTCGCCCAAGGTTCGAACTTGACCAAAGCTAACTCAAAACCCCAATGAACAGGAACTCCATTGAGAAAAGTTTTCAAGACGGCACGCTTGGACCTAGAAGATGCCGCAGCGAAGGCACGAGAGAGGGCCACCTTCAGGCAGACGGAGATGAGGGAGAGCATGCAGAAGATGTCCAAGGAGAGGAAGGCGCGTTTCTACTGTAGGAGTTTGACAAGTCAGAGGGTGAGAGCAGAGAGAGAGAGAGAGGCACACGCGTGTCGTTGTTGTTGTTGTTGTTGTTGTTGTGGTAGTGGTGCCGTTGCTTGTGGTAAAATGGCATAGGTGTTGGTAGTGTGCTGGTGGGATGTTTGGAGCCCATTTCTCAAAGGGCAACAGCTACATAATGACCTTTGAGTTTTGGATATCTACGTCTCCCTTGGATATCTACATGTCTTTGTATCTCCGGTACGGTACCCAAATTGAGATCCAGGGTCGCCTGCTGATTTTCACTCGCTTTTTGTGAAATGCGGCTACGCAGCGTGGAGCTTGCTCACGAGTGATGAACAGGCGTCATTCGCTGACTGTTTGCTTTCGCCCTCTCCTCGTCATCATCATCATCGCCTTTTGCCTGTTGTCGGCGTCGATTGTGACTGGAGGTTAATCGATTTTTTATCGGTGGCTGTGTCACGCCTCTTCGTTGTTTTTATGCATGTACACTGCTGTCGGTCTGTCAGCGCTGACAAAATGCTCGGAGATGAAGAAACAACACCCCGAGCTTGTGGTCGGGGGCTTCACGCTCGCCGTGGCCCTGCCTTCGGCTCTCGGTGAGCACGCTATCTGAGGCACCTGCAAGTACCTACCTGCACGTGCTGTGGTCATATAGAGACGGCACCCTTGTAGAGGGGGCAGGCTCTGTTGCTTTTCAGTGTGGTGTCATTTGCGGATTTCATCACCGCATGGTGTAGATATGTAACCGTCGAGCTCGTGATGAAGGGCGATGCGCTTGCTTGTGGTGGCTCCGCCTTCCACGCGGCATGGGTAAGCAAGGGGTCCAAGGGGTTATAGCCCGCCACTGCTGTTGCTTTATTGGGGAATGTTATCATTTTTTGCGGCGCTTTTCGAACGGTAGAGAACTTATAACGTACCCTGCGAGCTGGCGTTTGGGTGCGCTCCTGGTCACCACTGCTGCTACGTGGGCCGAAAACGACACGTGTGAAGGACCTACTTCTCTTTGACCGTATGTAGACAGCAGCCTCGCCTGCTTCGTTTGCTACTTTGGAAATTAATAAATAAATAAATAAAGAGTGTTCCATACCGTTCCTCGTCAGCATGCTTGTGTGGGTGGCTGCCTCTGCCACACAGCAGTAACCGACAACCATAGCGAACATTGCTCTTTCTCTTATTTCGTAAAAAGTTTCCAGCCGGACGGCGGACGTTCTTCAGGAACGGCGCGAGAGCTTTGGTGCTGTCGCCACTGCCGTACGTGGTCCACGGGGGGGCATGGATGAAGCGGCGAGGCGCCACGACCGCAGTGATGTGCTGATCGAGTAATTCACACAGAGCACGGACATGTCTACTGCAAGTCGGAGGGAGGGAGGGGTTGGTGCCTGGGCAGAGGGGGGCGCCGAGGACTCTATGTCCTTCTTTCTCTCGCGAAGAGGCTGTGTGTAGGCGGGAGAGGTAGGGGCAGAGATGGAGAGGGGAGGGGGAGGGGCGGGGGAGATGAGATGTGCTCCCCGCGTAGCGATTCTTCAAGTCGATGAGAGTGAAAAAAACGATATCTGCTTGTGCAGGTCATGGGCTGACCTGCCTACCAGCCCAACGATGAGAACGGTACTCTTGCTCCGAAGCCGAATGGTTGACTGGAGGCTAGAAGGTTCGCCTTGGGTGTCTGGCTATGCCGTTATCAGGGCACTTTCATTTTGTAGGAGTAGCAGCTCGCAGTCGAGCGTTTTATACCCATTTCGGGAGTTTTGAACACCGAAAGGGGCTGTCTAATTTTGTTGCACGTTGTGAGTTTTATTTCTTTTGCAACAGTGTGTGCCCTAGAGAAGAGCTTGCGCCGCCAGTAATGATCAAGCACTTGTCCTTCCGCTGTCGCTGCGATAGATAATAGTCTTTTGTGGCATTGTGGCACACCTGGTGCTGGTGCTGATGTTGGCTGTTCATGTGTCCGTGGCTTGTTTGGCTCGGGGGGGGGCGGGGGGATCGCACGGCCTTTCATCGCGTGTTCAAGCAAACAACAAGTACACGGTATTTGGTTTTGGGGCTCTAGGGCTGGCCGGGAGTAAAAATTCAGGACTATGCGACTCTTCGACGCCATGCGAGTCACAGAAGTGACTTTTCTATTGCGGAACGTGTGCTGCACATGTCTGTTGGAGAGAACATGTGGGGCGGTCAGGGTGTAGACGATGCTCGACGTCAACGATGCTCGGATTCAAAGTCCCAAGCGGTTTCAAAGGGCGCGTGATCGATAACCGTACATACCTTTGGGCCAATCAACTTTTCTTTTTTCTTTCGTTCTTTCTTTCAGCACCGGTCCACCCTCTTTTCATCACCTATTCACGTGCTTGGATTGGTTCCACTCTACTTGCAGTCCTCGCCTTTTCTTCCACGACGAAATTGGTCCCAAAGAACTGGATGAAGATACACATGCATACTCTGTACGAGGAGAGGAAATACGTTGGACGACATGCGTCCGAAGGAATTCATCGTGCCCTTCATTTGTCCCGAAGGGCGTGGTCAAATTCCGATCCTTCGAAGGAGCGGATGCTGCCCCCCAAAAAATAACCCATCATGATTTTGAGTTTTTGAGTCCGGTAGCGATTTCCCCGAGCTGACGAAAGCTACGCGAACGAGATCGCGGCGGTGCCTTAGCGCGACCAAGACCTCGGCTTTCTCTGTGGGGGTTTTCAAACGCAGCGACACCGGTGCCGAAAGCAAGCTCTTTCTCAGAAAATATAGGCACACAAGCTTTGAAACGCCATTTACTCCACCCTCCGGCTATCTACTTGCGCCTAGTCCCGCCCGTTCTCGCCAGTACCATCGCCTCAATTAAAAATCGAACGTAAATTAAGAAGCAACAGCTACACGTAAGCACTATCACCACTAAAAACTAAAACATGCAGCCTCCACTGCATGTGCAGACTCGGCTGTAGCAACAAACACCAACGAAGCTTGCGTCACTGAAAGGCAGTGCACCCGCCCGCGGAAATAGAGAGGTGCTGTGGGGGTAGTCGGAATTTCGTGCTTTTGGCCGCTGGCTCACTCCCTTTCTCTCAAAACCTCACCATACCACAACACAAACATGCACGTTAGTTACATCAGCCACTCCCTCCCTCCCAACGTCAACCTCCAAAAGGACACAGTAGTTCCATCCGAACTCTCAGAGCTTACCCGCGCTGTGCCAGAATATGCGCCTGTGGGGCGCCGGTCTGTTGCGGGCTCAAGCGTAACCTCGAGGAATAGACTATATCTAGAGAAGGAATATATCCGGAGATCGAAATTCGCAGGATTCATTCCTTCTACATGAATTAATTCCTGGCAGTTACACACGTGAGCCCGCCACAGACCAGCGCCCCGCATTTGCATTCCGTGGCATTCAGCAACCACCTATAGCCCGGTCACAGGCTCATGCCACCCTTCACGGGCTGGTAGAAGAGTTCCTCTCCCACCGAATATGCTCTTCAGAGGGAAGACGAAAACGTACTTCTCTAAAGAGAAACCCGCGGTGACCTGCGTGAAATAAGGGGTGACAAGGAAAACGTTCGGGTAGGGTAGGGTACATGTACAAGCCGGAGGGGGAGGGACGTGTCAACAAGCTGCGCCATGTTGACCTAAAAAATAAGGACCGACTGCTGTGACTGTGACCGACTCATCCATGGCAAGGTTTTTCCTGTTAAGTCCCTCTGCCGGACAAAGGGATCCTGTGATTTTGTTAGTTTCTTGCATCCTACTGGTACCACATATTCACTCTTCCCGAGAAGAGCGCCGTGCGTGTGACAATCTTGGTGGGAGACATCGACATCGACCGTGCTTGCGGGCTGACCCGTGGAATCACGGCGTAGATAGACTGCTGTGCACATGTCTATGGAGAAGAAGGAGCACTGCCTAGCCAGGCAAAACATGTCTTTGCACGGTGCGAGCTTCCGCGAAATTGGTGCGAGATATATGCGTATGTACAGCAGAGGATTCAGGCACGGCAGAAAACCCGACCAACGTTCGACTCCAACAAAAAGTAGAAGAGAGATAAAGCTGGCATGCAGGGGTACTCGGCAGGCGATGAAAGGTACCCCCCTTCTCTCTCCACAACAGGAAAAAATAAACGTCCAGTCTTTCTTACCGCCCGCCTGTACTCAGAGATACACGAACTGAGCAAAATACACATCAATCGCGTTTACACAAATAGTGCTCTCAGCGCACTCAACAATGCATCACCCATCACACCTATTTAATCAACCGTTGGAAACAATCTACGCTGCTCACCGTGCATACGAAAACGTGGGGCTTGTCCGAGTTGTTCATCACACGGGCAGGGAAGCCGAACGTGGAAATGTCGAGGTAGATGGGGTCTCCTCCATCGTGGACGACATATCCCTGCCGCAGCGACGACACCGGGGGAGTTCAGGAAAGGGAAAGGGTGGCGTTTGCGGGAGCGGAGAGGGGGTGGGGGGCTCGCTGACGATATGGCGTACGTACCCCAACCGAACCGATTTGACGGCACACGATCATACCGGCCTACCATCCACCAACACATTGTACGTTGGGTGGTCGCTGCTGCTGCTGCTGCTGCTGCTGCGACGTAGTCTGTGCTTCACCAAAATAAGCGAAGCAAAAGGGAAGGGAACCCTACCTGAACCAAGCTTGAACTGAGAGTACGTTAATACATACGGGGGGTACCACGGTTGCTCCTCTTCAACGAAAACCTTTTCAAAACCACGGGAATGCCGTCGAAGCAGAGGGTGTTCCTGTAACACGCACATTGTTCCAAAAAAATGGTGCCAAGGCCATGGACGTGCACAAGTCCAAGGCAGACTACAGGTGGGCCGATGATCGCGAAGCTCACAAAACGAAGCGCCCGGGTACGCAAAACACGCTGTGCCACTTTCCATCTCATGGTGCTACATATACATGCAGACTTCATGCGCTTGTGAGGAAAACTACTGCAACTATGCCCATTTCCCCTCCCTCGCTCTCACGTTCAGGCCCAATAGGAGGCGCGCCGCCAACCGCTTCGAGACCGGGGAGCAATGCCTCCGGAAGGCCATGACGACCTCTTGCTCTTCGAAAGGCTGGGTGGCGAACACGCCAACCCCCCCCTGTGATTATCGACGGTTCCACAAAAATACGGACGGCACGAGTGAGACACGGGTGTAGTGTAGTTTAGTCTAGCGTAGCGTAGCTCAAGAAAATCATGCTACGTTCCAAGTATCGTGAAAGTGAACTGGGAAGTAGCATGCCTTTGTCCACGGGTCGAAACCTGGTCCGAGGGTCAGGTCGTGACCCGTAACGTATAGGAAACGAAAACGGGTTAGTTGGAACGACCCGCCAACATATCTGCCCATGACAAGCGCGGTTGACCTAGACGGTGAAACCTACCGGTCATGCCTTACGAATATTCCTGCAAAAAATGTAAATTTGAAGCAGACTGAGAGTAGGCCAACCAATGGCGGAAAAGCCAAACATCAAACGAAAAAAAACTACCGTAGCAGCTGCGCGTGTTGTTGCTAGGCAATGAAAGGAAATCCATCGTACTTGTAGCAAGCATTTCGAACAAACACACGCACACACGTGTGCATACCACCCCCGCCTTCGAAAGACAGGACCCGCGACAAACTGCCAAACACCCAGCCAGGCGGTCAAAAACGTGTCCCTCCTACAGTACCCTCTCTCTCTATTCTCTTCTCTTCCTCGCACCTGCGAAGACGCCCCCTTCCGAACGGGGCTGCTCGTCGTAAAATAATGGACGCAGTCGTCGTCCCTTCCAAGCTTCTGGGACACGTCAGCCGCGTCCAGCACTTGCCACACCGGTACCATCTGATTGTGAGGGAGGGCATGGTACGGAGCTCAAGACATCAGACACGTGGAATAGGAATATTTCGGCCGTATGCATGTGTGCTGGTTCAAGTCTACGACGCAAGCTCTCAAAGCAGTTTGGGCTCTCGGTTACTGCCAGCCCTTGTACTAATTTCTCACAACACCACGCTACATGTATATACACACATACGATACAGCCCACGACAAAATCCTTGTGCGTATTCCAAATCGACCGCTTGAGCTATAACATTTAGTGGATACCATCTGCTGACAACAGAAACCCTACCGGTGCAGGCAAGTGCACGGGCAGGCTGGGCGGGCACGGCGAGCTGGACAGGCTGGCGGTCGAAAAGCAGCCTGGTTCGGCGGGTGCACGGCGCACACGAGGGAGGGGCGGGGGGGAGAGGTCCCGTAGGGCATCGTCAAATAAGCCAAACGGCGAGGGGACAGTGATACGCCGTCATCACAAGGCTTCTTCCGCTAACGTCCCCGGACCACCGCATCGGGAGCCCCCTAAACGCTCACTAAAGGTGCTATTGTAACGCGTGAGGCATAAATGGCCATCCACAACCAATAGAGGTACACTACACGCTCACGTTTGGAACTTAACGATACCGAGATCCTTTGTTCATTGTACGCCATGCCTCAAAACACCTTCAAACACCTTGCCCTCGCTATGTGCCCGCATGAGCGCCTCGGCTGCCTCCATTTGCTCGACCGAAGCCACCGCCGCCGCCGTCCCCCCGGCTTTCCTCCTCTTGGGGCACAAGCAAAGAGAGACAGAGAGAGACAGAGAGGGAGAGGGAGGTCAGATTCAAGACAGCGAGGAACGGCATAAGAGCAGCGGAAGAGGGAACACCTCGGACACCCTCGTTTCTAGATTCTAGCCCATTTTCTGCAGTTTGACATGCAAAAATGACGGACGCTGCGATCACCCATAGGCTAAATCAAGCCCTTGTCTGTAAAAATACATATCGACCGAATCAATACGCGTTGCAATTTTCCATTCTTCACGCACACTAAACCAACGTACTTCTTCTGAGGTAAGTACACTTGTTTCTCGGAACAGAAATGGTGAGTATGTGTGCGACCAAGTTCGTCCATCGTCGTGTCAAGAGTCCATTCATGAAAATTGAATCAACACCTTGACAACGACCAGAGGCAGCCCGCTACGAAGCGAAATTTCACGCCAATTTCTCGATAAAATCCAAAATCGTATATTGTAAGCAATTTTTTTTCCGACAAACATCAACCCGACCCAACGATACAGGTGTTAACTCAAAAATATTACACCTCCGCTGCTGCTGCCACCAGGGCGAGGTTTCTCTCTGTGCATTCATTGTCAAACAAGACATAAATCTTTCAATTCAGTACCAAACCACAGAAGCAGTCGAGAAGTTCCCAGGGACGTTGTAGCTGGTAGCTGGGGGGGACGGTGGGACAGCTCGAGATCTACAGTGGAAGCCACTTTGAATGCATGCAGCATGCCGAAGAGCAAATCACCACGCCCACATCTCTGATAGATATCGATCTTACCTCCCCTCTTTCGCCAGTTCGTTCTCCAGAACTGTTCCCCGCCTCCTCCCACCAGAAGCGGTACGGGGGGCCGCGATTGTCTCGGAGGCGTCCGCGGCTTCGGAGGTTAAGTGGGTCCTGTAGATTGTGGGAAAAGTCAGGAAATACGTGAGCGTGGGGTGCAAGGAGTGTCAGTAGTCCGCGTGCTGCTCATCCCAAGGAAGAAGGAGCTTCCCTGACAAGGTGAACTGTGGTACTGCGGTTTCGGACAACCAAAATCCAGTCCGGTAGTTAATCCTGTGATCACACCAAAGTTCTAGATGTCGTTTGTTGGCCATCAAGAGTTGCACGCGAAGGTTTGTACAGGCGTGCAGACGGTTTCGGTCGTGAAGACAAACATCACTACCAAAAGAGATAGGACCGCTGAGCACCGTGTAGAGGGTTTCCACGGACGTTTCGAAAGCCATATACCATGAGCTACAGTATGCATGACTCACCCCCAGTATCCTTGGGACACTCTCCCGGTCCCTTCATTCATGGTGTGCACACGGCTCCGGCGAAGGAGCCGGGCCGAGAGGACGACATTCCGTCTTCGATCATTGCCAAAACCCGGGACGGCGAAAACGACTGTGCAGGCAGGGTGGACGGGGGCGGGGGAGGGGTGGGGCGAGGGTCACAGCTCGTTTGCAACAACGACCGTGAGCGCAGACACGATTCTTCAACAGGGACACGAAGCAATCACCACAACAGGATGCCTCATGCTCCGACACCTAAAGCAGATGAAAAAAATATGGTATTTAGAGACGATGAACACTCCGCTCAAAAATCACGAAATAGAGGCATCAGAGGAGATTTCCACAAAATCATGATGTCCATCGGTTTGCGGTTGCCAGCCGTAGCGAACGCCCGTTTATGGGGAGCAGAAATGCGGGTGTTCTGGAGCTGTAACACTCCCAACTGCCACTTCACTGGCACTAACGTCAGGAGATATTTTCTATGCGTAGAGAAGCACGACGACCGACCCAGCTGTGATACAAGAAGTGCAACGCGGGGGCCCAATATCTTCGTGAACCCTACCCATCGCAGATGCAACACAGCATATAGGTATCCGCCGACGGTACGCAACCGGTCAATTCGCATAACCTCAGTTGGACCGATGTCAGCAGTTTGGTTGCAATGGCGATCTTCCCCTGAATGGAATCACGCTAACGAAAAGAACATGTGTGAAGGACGTAACACAGCTCCCAAAAAAAACAAAAATGCGCCAATCGGGGTATACGGCACACGTTGACGAACACCGCACCCCACTACACTTTAGACACCAAAACACGGCTCTCTCGTTTGGGGATACCAGCCGTAGCGAACGCCCGTTTATGGGGAGCAGAAATGCGGCGTTCTGACCGCGAACTGCCATTTCACTGGCACCGAAGTGCGGGGTTCTTTTTCTACGTGTAGAGAAGCGCACTTCAACCAACCCAGTTGTGATACAAACATGCAACGCGGGGGCCCAATACTTCGTCTTGGTTGTGACGACCGGCGAACCTCCCCCTTCGCAGATGCAACACACCATATAGGTAACCGCGACGGTACGCAACCGGTATTTTGATAATATTAACATTACCCCAGTCGGGCCGATGTCAGCAGATTTCGGTTGAAATGACGAGCTTCCCGTGCATGGAATCACGATAAACGAAAAGAACATGTGTCAAGGTCAATCAAACGGCACAACCTCGTATGTACAGTAACACGGAGACACAAGCTCTTCGACAAGCGCGCTACATGTACACTTTGGTGTGTCGCCTAAACTACTAGTAGCACTGCCACCCTCAACACCGACAGACACCCGACACGATGGTTGGATTATAGCGTGCGAGTCTATGAAATGCTCGCATGCCCACTCATGTTCGTTGGAAGGGTCAAGACACTAGACTACTCAGCGCCACAAAGAGCTTGCTAGTCTAGAGGGGCTGATCCTCTTAACGGGTATAAGAGTCAGTCAGTGCTGACCCGCTGTTTAGTTTCCTGAGATGACCGTTCGAACAAACACCCATCGCCAATGGCGGGCTGGCTACCGATCCAACACACCCCACCCACCTAGCGGGATGAATGTCAGCGAGCTCAAGGAGTGGCGAACTACGGAAACGTACGAAGCACAGCTTGGACAAGCGCAAGTTACTATTCTGAGTCGCTGCAGACTGCAGGTGCTTACACTTCAGATATCGTTGTTGTAGTTCATGACCTCCGGTATTTTGTGTGCTACCCCACGTACTCGATCTCCAAAAAATGCAAGTCGTGTAAAATTCCTCACGTCGCGAATATTGGGGGAACGGTAAACAACACATTCAGGTATACCCTGGCCGAAAAGCGACTCAGCCGGATACGTACTTTTACTCAGGGTGAAACCAGCCTAGCTGAGTGGTCGACGTCCACTATTAACCTGCCGTGTCACAAGAAAGCGTGGGATATACCCTGCCGCGGCTAACTGTCTCTGCCAGTTGTAGCCTGACTTTTAGTAATGTGCACGGCCCTGACGGGAAATGGGCCCCTTCCATCGGCCATTTTGTCCGCGGAAATCACTTTCTGTTCCAACCAAAGCATGCCAAAACACGCGCCTTCCAGCTCCAAACAAATGGTGGCAATCGCCATCCGAGACACAGTCCTCCATGACTGAACGCAGCATGGTTGACAAGTTGACTGAAGCAAAGCATGCATGGAACATCCCAGAAAAATAATCAATGGGTGGGTGGTGGCCGAGAGAGAGGGGAGGGACTCTCTCACACCGAAACCAATCCACAATCCACCCATTCATTACTTTTCTGGGATGTTGCATGCCGCTCTGCGTCAGTCAACTTGTCAACCATGCTGTGTTCGTCATCATTTGTTTGGAGCTGGAAGGCTCGTGTTTTGGCATGCTTTGGTTGGAACAGAAACTGATTTCCGCGGACAAAATGGCCCATGGAAGGGGCCCATTTCCCGTCAGGGCCGTGCACATTACCGAAAATCAGGTTACAATTGGCAAGAGAATATTAACCGCGGCACGGTATACCCCACGCTTTCTTGTGACACGGCAGGTTAATAGTGGACGTCGACCAATCAGAAGGATGGTTTCACCCTGAGTAAAAGCACGTATCCGACTGAGTCGCTTTTCGGCCAGGGTATACCTCAACGTGTTGTTTACCGTTCCCCTAAATATTCGCGACGTGGGGCATTTTACACGACTCGCATTTTTTGGAGATCGGGTACGTGGGGCAGCACACAAAATACCAGAGGTCACGAACTACAACAACGATATCTAAAGTGTAAGCACCTGCAGTCTGCAGCGACTCAGAATAGTAACTTGCGCTTAGGACAAGCAGTGCTGAGTCGCTTTTTGACCAGGGTACAGTATACCCTGACGTGTCGTTTACCCTCCGAGAAACGTTGCCCACCGACACTAATGCTGCCCGTGTGCTGTAACCATTACTAATACCGTACATAAACCAGAGATGGTGACTTGCGTGTGGGAATAAATTTGAAATTTTTATGTAGTGCCAATCGCACCATAAACAGTACAGCACATGACACAATTCAAACAATTTTTTTTTATAAAATGGCAAAAATTATTTTATGCGCGGTAGGAGGGGGTGGTTATGTGAGTAGTGCCCTTGCCTGGATGCTCTTGCTGCCCCGGAAGTCTCGGCAGCGGGGGGACTCGACATGCTGGAGGGCGGTGCTGTCAAGAGTGGGACCAAAGAGACAAGAAACGGGATCATCGGGTCAAGTGGATCATGCACCGTAACATGCTAACACCAGCTGGAGTCAGGATCATCGCCCGTGCAAATGAGGCGGAAAACACACACACCACTTCAAAAAGCAAAGAAGGTGTGTGCTGGATGTACACCGAGACAAGTAGAGAATTGACAAAAGAAAGCTGGTCACGCAGACAGCAACATCTACTTGTTCTAATAATTTGTGGAGCGGTCAAACCTCTCGACGAGAAAAAGCTCCCGAAGAGACAAAAGCTCCCGACGAGACAAAGCTCTCGGAGAGGCAATCGCTCTTGAAGAGACACAAAGCTCCCGAACAGACACAAGGGCTCCAAGAGACAAAAGCTCCCGACGAGACAAAAGCTCCCGAAGAGACAAAAGCTCTCGAGACAAAAGCTCTCCAAGAGACGAGATAAGACTGTCTAATAGACGAGGCAAAAGCTCTCTAATAGATGAGACGGTTCCAACACCGCCAATTTGCCTCCGCCCCACTCTTTGCTGCGGCGTAGTCGAGCTTTAAAAATGGCCCTGGGAGGTTATGTTTCGCACGGAAAATCTCTTGAGTAACGTACTTCCAAATATCGACAAATATCTGGCCTGTACTTCGGGTGACTGAGGCCCGTGGGGGCAAGGACCGGCTAGGGCGTGCGTCGAGAAAGGGAGAGGGGGCGAGCACAGTCGGCTGGTATTGGAACTTGTTGTAGCTGCGTGAGGCAACCGCGCACACTACGGTCATCAGGGTTCGACTGGCAACCGACTCACGAATAAAACAAAAGACAAGATTCGGCACCACCAGCGGAACTCACCTCGCGCACAACACGGCGCCCGTCATATCCAACAGGCGTGGTCTTATCTCACATGTGTCGTTCGATGCAGCCAATAGCTCCGCCGACAAACACGAACGTCGTAGATACGACGCGCGACGAAAAATGATACATGTCCCGTTTCAACTCCCATCTTTTCGGCAGACCAAGCAGACCCAGCAGAGTCAGTGGACGGAAGATGCGCAGACTGTGCCTCTTGTGCAGGCAGTCCTTGGTCGCTGGTGCCGCCGGCGGCGGCCTGCGGAGAAGGCAGCGCTCGCTGGTGCTGGTCTGTGCGCGCAAATTGGCAAGGAGAGAGGAGAAGGAAGGGGGAACAAAACTTGTGTGAGCCGGTGGAGAAGGGCAAGCGCCTCGGGGGAGACAGGGGAGACAGGGGAGACGGGAGAGATAGCGGAAACAGCGGAGATTACTAAAAGTGGGGTAGTATTAACTTCTAAAACAAATCACGCACCCCCCCGCGCGCGCGCTCGGTACTGAAAGCACACAGACGACTACTATCCGTTACAAATATACAGAACAATACAGCAGCATGGAAATCCGTGTGGTATATTACAAATGCAACACGGCTATGATGTAGCAGCGCAGACACTAATGTACAAAAAAAACTAGACTTCCAGTACCTTCGTTCAGGCTTGCCGAGCTGGCTCTCTCTTCTCTCTGCTCTGTGTCCAGGGAAACAGATTTAACCATCCTCCTCGCTGGAGATGGCTCTCGAGAGTTTGAGAGGATGTGCCCCCAGACGGATGCCCAGCCCATGGCTCGCGCCAAAGCAACACCCTCAAAAGAACCAGCGGGTGACGGCCGGTGCGCGGTGATGATATGGTTCCGTCGCTCTCTGCGTGTTTGCACAGCACGGGCGAGGGGCAACACACAACCTCTTGAGCCGTTGCTCTTTGCAACGCAAAAATATCCCCAGCTGTTGCATGAACACAGCAGGCACACGGACGGATACGATATACAGAATTCTGAGTTCCTGTTTCGCACACCTCGCCCATGCGACAGAAATACGGTAATGAGCAGGGAGGCACATCTCATCATGGTTTCAAGATCACGCACGATCGGCTACAATTATAGATAGCTTGGCAGTCATGGCGTGAGCTTGGCATGACATGCTACAGCACACAGTCGCAGCAATACTACAGCCGTCTTGCAACTCTCTGTCGCATTTATGAAAAGAAGGGAAAAAGAAGGAGTCAATGCCGCGAAGAGAGAGAGAGAGAGAGAGAGAGAGAGAGAGAGGAGGGAAGGCATTTTGAATTCGGCAGTTTGATGATGTTGGGCCCAGTCACCCACGCTGCCTTCCTCTCAGTTCTGTACGAAATTTAAATTTATCAATACAAGAGCCAGGCGCCCACCACTCATGGTCTCGGCACTGCCAGGAGAAACATAAGCAAAGGGACCTGACGGAGAACTACAATAGCTGCAGCTAGCTGCGTACAGGCATGTATATGCCTACATGGGCACCGCCGTTCTATGCTGTAGTCTACATATCAACGTCTGCGTATCGTTCATTTGTCTCTTTTCTGCTGTGTTCAAAAAATGTATTTCCGCGATCTGGGATTCTCCGGAGATTGCGCCGCTCTCTCTTCTGCTCGTCTGCCACCATCAGGCAGGGCGGATGGGGGTGGCCGGTGTGTGCGCGCGCGCACTCTTGTGTGTGTAGTAGATATATAGCGAGGAAACCAAGAGCCAAACCGATGGCTGGACCGTTGGGGGATCCCCAGCAAATGATCCGCGGGTATTCATCGGTTGGGTTCTCTAGTGTTAGGTGTGTGTACACAGCAGTCGGTCGTGCTGGCCAACAAAGCAGACCTTGGCTACCGACACTTGTGTGTCCCGTCTCTCAAATCAACCTCATCGCAGCAACAAGTCAGACACGGTGTTAGCTCAGCTCACACTTTCATGTCCTACAGCAGGGAGAGGGAGGAAATAACCCACAAGTCTCAAAAGATGGAAGAGTTGACAGTTGACAGGACTTATCAAAGTCAAACAAACTCGAAAATGATTTTTGGGGGCGTCACTGCTGCTGCTGCGTGCTTCTGCTGTGCGCGGTGTGTTTCGCCACAAGCATCCGGGAATTACCAATGACCATCACGTCTCAATTCCTGAAACCGTTTGCTCTGTTGTCTGGCCTGCGTCCTTACCTTTTGAATCATTTCTGCCGCCACATGTTGGTCGTGCGGGAAGTGAGTTCACTCGTTCACTCCACCGTTATCGGCCCGTCTTCTGGACTATGAAGGCACGAAGGCGGGCAAAACAATCCTACTACTTGTACTCGTGCCCGATCGGGAACGCGATTGCGACAGAACCAACGTTAAAACTGTTCTTATAATGTCTCTGAACATTGTTACACACAGCTGCATCACCTCGGGGACTTAACATTTCCCAGGCGGACCTCCCTCGAGGGGGAGGGGGGGGCATGGAGGGAGTCACGGGCCCGTGTTGGGGCAATCGAGCCTCACAGCGAAGGAATATGGTGCTTGCCGCCTTTGGTTTTTCGAATTGTGAAAAACACACATCTATCTTTCTTCCGTCAAACCAACTAGCATACGCCCTGCAACCCTCGTGTAGTCCGGGGCATAGATGAAGCTCGCTCAAGACGGGAGAAAGACGCAGGCAAGGGCAACCGCGGGCGGCACGGCGATGCATCACCTGCAGTACACGAACGACAGCACTGGTTTGGAACTTCTCTGAACATGATACATTTGAAACTTCAAAAATTCAAATTTATCATGTTCAGAGTGAGCCGACGCCAAACTACGCACGCGGGAAGCAGTAGTACATAGGTTAGGTACGCCTGGGCTGGGTGAAGGTTTCCCGATTGTAGCCAGTCATCTTCATATGCTACCATGGGCCGATATCGTTAGTATTCACACAATTCTACCTTCCGTGAGGCGCTCGTGATATTCTATGCAGACTACAGCATTGCATATCACACGACCGAATTCACTATGTACATACGTACGTGAGATTTGTGCAAGACGCGTTGGACCCGGGAGCAAAAGGCTCCACAATTTCTCCGAGCTACCATACAGCAGCTTCCGGGAAAACAGAGAGAGAAAACGAGAATGCAAGGAATTCTCCATGCGCGATAACGAATTTAGAGCATGCGAGCTGATCCAACAACACTCACGCCAAGTTATTACATGGTGTTCTCTGGGAGTTGACAACAAGACTACTATTGGACAGCCGAAGGCGTAGTGCAGTGCACCTAGCGACAAAGAGACACCACCCCCCGGATGAATACCCACTGCCTGCTGCCCCGGTTCCAAACCCGCGTCCATCCACAGCGCCGTGTGCGTGCGCACGCTCGCCATGACCTCGTACTTGGGGCCGACCAGCAGTACCCTGCCCACCGCGGACGAGTGCCCCTTGAGAATCTTGGTCAGCTTGCCGCCTTCCGCGCACCAGGCGTAGATGCCGCTGCCTTCGGAGCCGGGCAGGACGTACTCCACGCTCGGAGTGAAGCACGCGTCCAGCTCCGAGTGCAGGTCGTTCTGGTGCCCACTGAACACCTGGATCTATCTGTAGTTGTAGAGTCGTATGCATAGCAAGCGGGGCGCACGGCCAGCCAGTGCGGGTGCGAACAGCGTGGTCGTAAGTAATGGTCGCGGTGAGGTCGGGGCGAGGGTAAAAAGAAAGATGCGGTGCTGTTATTGCCATAGGAAAATTCTTGTTGCCGTAATGAGGTTCCCGTTGCTCTTGTGCAGGCGGTATCTTTGACAACGTTAACGTTTTCACAGCCCAAAGAGATATACAGGTTCTGAGGTTTCTTACCGTAGAATAATGCTACCGTGATAAAAACAGGGTGAGGCCAAGGCTAAGCCGTACCTTGCGTGTGGTGCGGCGTGGCAGGCTCGTACCTCATGAACGATACACCCAGCTCTTTGACGCCCGTCAGGCGAGGGTAGTGTGACAGCTAAATCCCTAGGAGAAAAAATACAGAAAACCTGAGTGGCAAAAAGAAGCAGCAACTCATCGAATCACATGCACAACCAAAGATCGACAACAACGAAAGAGTTGGCCGTCGTAACCATTTAGTGCGGTCCCGGATTAGAGATGTTTAGTGCGCTGTTGAAGGGACGGACGTGAAGGGTAAGTCGCAATTACGGGCGTAGGAAAATGGACATAACTGTAAAACAATGCGAAGAAATACTAGCTCGACGACGGCCCGTATCGCTACCGTATCACTCCATCCAATGTATTCAGTATGATCGTACACCTTCTGATGTTTCACCACGAACGTGTCGAGCGAGTCCTTTCAGTACAGTCGTGTCCACCGTCAGAAACTTCGCTGTAAAACAAGACGCGAAATGTCACAACAAGAAAAAACACGAACGCACACGGCGAGCGTTTGGTCAGTTGCGTAGCTTTGGGCCACGATCCGACAAAATATATCCCTACAACAAGCAGAATGCATCTTGCACGAACAGGCAATAGTCGGGGTAGATAAACGACTTACAATGTAGCACAGGGCGGATTGTCGGGTTCATCGTCTTCTGTAAATGAAAAAATCGATAGACAGACAATACAAGATAGGTCGGCTATGTTGCAAGTGATACTGCCTCGGCAAGCATTGGCGATAGCACGGCAAACAAACAACCGGCCGCATACAATACCCGTTGCGCGACACGAAACGGCATGTGCTCCGCCGAAAACAACAGGCATACCACCATCACCACCACAGCAGCAGCAACAACAGGGAAATAAGCTGTTTTTAATCTCCGCGTCAAGGCCGGCGCCCAAGCCATGCGAGGGAAAAGAAAATAGGGAAGAATCAACAAGAACCTGTCACCAAATCTGCCCCGGTTCGCGCGGTTGACGTTCACGGTGAAACCCACGGGTCATGCCTGACGAATTCCTGAAAATCAAATGCAAGGCAGCAACAGCAGCTGCTCGGCAGCCTCTCTATTCATTTCTCCAACACCACACGTGCTACACATGATACAAACAACAAACCTTAGTGGGTATGTGATCCAGGTCAGCCGCTTGAGATATTTAATGGAGATGCCGTCTGCTGAAAACAGGAACCTTACCGGTCGGCCGGCGGACGAATAGGGAAGAACTTCTTCGCCCAGAACAGCCGAGTGCAGGGCCGCCACTGGCCTGGTGGGGCGGCGCACACGAGGGGGGGGGGGGGGGGCGTTTGGGAATTGTTGGTAAGGCCGCGCAGCGAGGGGATGGCGAGGACAATATACGCCGTCATCTACAAAGGTGGGTCGGGTGAGTAGCCTGCTCCTTCCTACTCGACACACCAGCGTTTAGGAAGACTTTGTTTTAACTCCCAAAAGGGCGTCAGGTTCATCCAACCTCGTCGGGCAGGAGGGAATGATGGGGGTGAAGGGAAGGGTATCAGTACTCCCCACACACAACATTCCCATCAACAAACGCTTAACAATTCGTAACGCATGAGAGGAGGGAATCGAAAAGATCCTCACAAAATGCCAGACCTGGTCAATACCCCAAGGTCGGATATATGTATTCGGGGAAGCGACACATTAATAGGGTATGCCTTGGTCAAAAAGCGACACAGCCGGGTTCACACGTTTGATCAGCGTGACATAACCCTTGCTGATTGGTCGATGCCCACTATATTAACCTGCCAGCGTCACATATATCCCGGGAATCGCCGGCCGTGGCTACGTCCCTGCCATTGTATCCCAATTTTCGGAAATTTCGCCGGCCCTGACGGGAAATGGTCCCCTTCCGTTGGCAATTTTCTCTGCAGAAGCGCCTTCTGCTCCAGCCAAAGGACACTAAATCACGAACCTTCGAGCTCCATACGGAACATGCACGGGACATTCTACTGTTTGCGCAGAAGTAGTGGCGTGCAGATACCGCTACATGGACCCTGGGGGTAAGAAATGTTCATCATGAGGTGGTAAAACAGCACGGACGGTACACGGCAGTGCTATTCACAGCTGCTGTTTGGATGGAGGCGCCACAACAAGACCAAGATGTGTTCAACACAAACGCTGCATTTGCTGCACGGTGATCGAGCTCTTACTCTTCGCGCGTACATAACTTGGTTGGAACTCGCCGGATTCCACTTCCCCTTACCCCGAGCGTTGGCCCTATCCCAAAAGAGCGCAAGCCGTGCGCGCGATAGTTAAGTGACATGTTATGTTCTTTGTCTTGCGGGTTCGCGATATACTGCCCTGCTAAGCTCAACCGCCGTCTGGAAGCATCAGCTTCTCTCGGATCGAAGAAATTTCGATGCCGCTTCCGGCGTAACTTTGATAGCTCGCCCCGCCCCCGGCCCCCTCACACGCAGCCTCACGACCCACAGCCACGCGCTCTTGACGGATGGCACCATTTGAACCAAGTCATCGTGTCGGAGGACTTGATGTTATTGTCTGTGCTGCCGGTACACCAAGACGACGACATGATATGGTAGAGGGCGGTCCCTTCACCCCCACGTAGTGAGTGCCGTGGATCATCCCGCAGCCGAACTCTTTTGGTGTGTTGGTATATGCAGTCATTTTGTGGCAACCCTCCACGGCGTTGATAAGAGTCGCTCTCCTGTCAGACCACGCGCGAGTCAACCAAAGGAAAATGCACGGTTGCTGGATGCCGTGTACTGTATTCACAAAAGACAAGAGAGGTGGACCAAGTCTTGAATCAACCTCATGGGTGCTGGGGTGAGAGGAAGCCTCGACAGCGGCGTGCACCACATTTGTCAGAGAGTAACACAATCCCTGTCGGGTGGGATCGTCCAAGCTCGATCCATCCCTGTATTCTACACCAGAAAAAGGGGGTTGTTGCCAATCAGACATATGTGTAGGTTGCTATTTAGCATAAACAAGGCAGCCATGTATGTATGTTTGGACAGCCCCTCAGAAGAACATCAGATCAATACAACACAACGTCGCGCGTTTCTATAGACTACACACCCGAGGGAGAGACGGAAACTTGCGAAACCGGCCTTGCGAGTTCGTCGCAAGGTGGCATTGTTGTGCCAGTATGGTAATACGCACAACACACGGATGGTGAGGAACAACATCAGCCTATTGTAGTCTGGAGAGCATATTCCCTGTACGACCGAGAGTAGATCTTGTCACGATTACCTGCAATTTCGTTTTCTTTCGAAGCCATGCTTCACAAGGCCGCAGCGTGTAACATCTGCATCTACAGTACCATGCGAGGCTGAGGGTTGGTTGCAGCAACGGCGGTCCTGCCTTCTCGACCAGATGTTATCAGACTATCGACGTGTCTACATCTGGTAGACATGTGGTACATGTTGCAGCATACATGGGCATGGGCGGACATGTTGCCACCAGCCGCCGAGGAAAATGTGATGGATCAGAAATTGCTCACTTGTCGCTGCCTCACGGGGTGGGCCCTCGCAGCGGAATACATACAGGCCACAACGCTTCCACCATGAAACCCCTACCCCATCAGCCATGGCCATCGCAAGGAGGTCGAAGACTCCCGTCATCTCGTCCGTTGCCCCTGCCAACTCTCTTCAAGACCAGAGAGCCGGTGTCGTTGTGGTGATCTTCCTTCCCAAAACAACGGCCTGGATTCTTCGCCTGAAGGATACAATACCCTCTGGTGACCATTGCCTAGATCGTCAGGCTGTGAGTGACCATTGATCATTCTAGACTTGGAAGAGGGGGGAGAAGCAGCAGGCCAAGAGGCAGAGCGTGCGGTGTGGGCGGCTCATGATATCCTGCCTGCGGCTGCGCGAGGGGGGTACGCGAATCGCTCTCTGCCGTAATTATTCAACCATCATGCGGAGCCCCCAGCCTCTCCAGGACAAGAGTCCAGTGCAGTGCGCTGTTCAACTTGCTCAGCGTTGTAGTAGACAGAGAGCATTGTGAGCATCATCGAGTCATGAGAGGGTCCAGGAATAGAGGTGGTTTCGATAGATCCACCGATGCCGGAGTTATTAGATCGCGCAGCACGAGCTTTGACCAGCACCACAACTTCCGCAGTCATGTAGCGTCTCCGACAAGCACGCCCAGCAGAGGCGGCCGCCGGAGGCTGGAGGGGAGGTCTGTGCCTCGCGCAGGCGCTGAGGAGCCGGCAGTGACTTCGGATGGATCGACCATCTTCGCCTTGAGTGAGTTACTGCTATGTAGGCTGGCAGCGCGGAACTGCTTCTTCGTGTTCATCCAACACCGGTGTAGTAAATAGCAATTGGAAGGATGCGTGCATTGTCGTCTCACCCATCACGCCGAGCTCTCCTCTCTCTCGCTGCACCCCCTGCTCGTGGTCAATGCGACCCATGCACCAGAGCATGTGTACGTATCACTCAGCGCTCCCTCCTGTGTTGCCTTGCACGACGGGAGGCCCCGCTGCCGCTCGCAGTGTTTGTTTGGCTGCTTTCCCGTTGCCTACCCGCCTCCGCACCATGACAGCGTCGTCGTTGAAGTGTTGAGTCGTCAACCCACGAAGCCGTAAGGCTGCCCCCCCATACGATGTTCCCCCGGCAGCATCACATGTACGCGGCGTGTACAGAGTTTTGCCGAGTGACTTCCTTACATGGCAGCATCGGGTCCTTTTTTCCAGGTTGGCGCGAAGTTGTTCCCCCAGACGGATAGATTTCGCAGGGAATTCGGACAAGTTTATTTTGAACCTACGTTGCTGTGGAAAGGGGTCGACAGCCGCAGTCTTGAAAATCGTAGCGTAAGCGTCCAATGCAGCTTCAGTGCCATCTGCAATCTACATACCCTACAAGGAAGTCATTGACCCTGATCCGTGAGAGGCTTGGGGATTGTTGCTGCCCCAAGGCTCAGATGTAGCTGCACTGGTCCAACCCTCAGCAGCCTGTGCCGACGACCGCTTGCACATGTAGTCTTACCCAATCGCAACACCATCCACCCAACCAGAAGCACGGGATGAACGACAACAGAAGGAGATACTAGCGACGAGTGCACCACCTGTTGCACATATTTAGGCAATGCAAATTTAAGGCGGGGGCATACATACGAACCACGACCCAAATTGAACCGTTTCTTAATTACGGGTCCCACATTTTATCTGTAGTTTCTCTCGCGGCGGCCGGGGGGGAGGGGGTAAGAGGGAGTGGACTCGTGGCGACAACGGGGCTACATGTAAATACCCCGCCGGTCTTTTACCCAAAGTACACGAGGGGGAATTAAGCCAGCCCGATATTTTGGAAGGGATGCGTCGAGTAGTAGCGCTGCTGCCCACCATCAACAGGAAGAGGAAGCGAGAGCGATAAAAAACAGTCAACGTGGCGGGCATAGCATTCATAGAAGCTGCATCTACATACCGCGGGGCGCACAAGGTACAACTCCCCCTGCACCGACAAGCTCAACTATTTACTCTAAGCAAACAGAGCGACGACGCCGAAAATGATGGCGTTGGTGTGCGCCGTCTCATCGAGAGCATTCCCACAAGGTACCGTTCATCTTGACACCCTCTTCATCGCGAAGTGATCGAGAAGTGATGGAGGTTTGAAGCTCGGCCCAGGTGGTGTGGTGTCGTACGCGACGTACTGTAACCGCACGCGTGTTTCACGTAGGTTCTGGAGTCGTGGGCGCCTCCACTAAAAATGTCGGGTGGCAAGAGCGACCCCAAACCCAAAGCAACGATGGCAGCCATTTATCCTGAACCCAGTGTTTGCTGCCATTGAAATTGAAACAGCAACACTCACCTGCAGATTCAGGCATATCGGCGCCAGCGGCAGCAATGCAACGGACCGAACGGCAATCCACACTCAACCAAGGAGTGAAGCACCAAACTTGGAAGCAAGACGGCAGCATGCGAAGGGGTTATTTATGTCATCGTTTGGTGTCGGGCGTACGGCCTGCCACGGAGGCCGCAAACGGGCGGAGAAGAGGCACGATCACACAAGCATGTCTATTGGCCGACTGCAGCACGTTTTTACGTATATCCGTAACGTACCGTGACCCTGCCGTGTCGTTTGCCCGGACATATTTTTGTTGAGCAGGAGCCCCGGACGTTGTGTGCTGCGGTGACAAGTCCCGAGGTAGAAAGCTAAGGGTCGTTTGCCTTTCGGACACGCACGGCAAACACCACGCCATGCGGCACACGATACCGGGTATGTACGGTGTGTTTTGTGGTGCATTAGAATCGCAACCGGCTGACAAATGGAAGACGAGTCGTGTGTGCCGTTGACCCATGGGTGTTGTGTATAATTTGGAAGTACTGCAGTTTGTTGCCTCGCGTATCGCGCTAATTTGTTCTCGGCGGGCTCGTTTTTGCGTGTGTTTTTCGGTGGCAGTGGCGCAGATGCTGGTGCTGCGTTTTGTTTTTGCATTTTTTGCGTTGATTGGTACCACCGTTCGGAGATCCGTTCTTTTTTGTGTCGACATCGATCGGTAGTTTTGACAGACGAAACGATGCTGGCTCTTGTGCATTCGTCTATTGTTTCCATTCCTGAGAAAATCGCGTGGAGACACGCAGGATACACGCAGAAATAGGGTTTCTGTCTCCCCCACAAGCTAATCTCGTTTACGTTCCCTTGTGTGCTTCCGTCTCTGCGCGCGGCGGTTTCATGCGCCCGCCTACGCGATTTGACGACGAAAACATTCTGCTCCAAGACGGCGACATATTGATTCACTGCGGCGACTTTTCGACAAAGCTTCAGCAGCGAGACTTCGAGGCAGCCGTGGAGGATTTCGACCGGTTTCTGGGCTCTCTGGGGCACCGGCACAAGGTAGGGAGGGTATGGTTGGTCTAGGTCTCGGTGGGTTTTGGTCGTCGGGTAGGCGAAATTGCAGATTATATTGTTGTTGTGTGCTTTATTCGCTCGATTTTCTGCCCTTGTGGCCACGAGCTCATGTTCCAGAACGCAATGAAATGCTGCCGCAAAACGTTTGGGGCAGTGTGCCATGTCTCGAGCTGTGACATGGTTCGGGTAACATCTTCGACTGTCGTCGTATATGCGGCTACGCATTTCTGCTTGTTTTTTTTTTTGCAGCTGTTGCCGAGCTGGTTGTGATGTTCGCGTATATGTGTTTCCGTGTTTTTTCGTGTGTACCCGTCGGTTCCGCGTCTGTGTGTCTCTGTTGCCGCCGTGGTATGTTCGTCGCCTGCTGCGTTTTCCTTCTTCTTTTTTTTTTGCATGTGTCTCGTGTTTTATTATTTTGTTTTTGCTTCTTTCTTTGTTTCTCTATTTCACGAAACTATGCCCCCTCTCTGCGCTTGGCGCCCCCTTCCCGTCAGCTCGTCATCGCCGGCAACCACGAGATCGCCTTTAACCACTACACAAGAGAGCAGATACAGCGCCGTATAAGGTGACCGGAGCTCGAATGGATCGCGATACACATACCTATCTGCCAATCGACACATACATGGCGCCATATATAGGGGGGGGGGGGGGGTTCTACAGATATTTTGGCCGCTGCAGCTTCCCGGCCATCAAACCGATCGCGGCTGTAACATGTCATCGGTCTGCCCCTATCACTACTTCCGGTGTTCTAAATTGGGGGGGGGGTTCTACAGATATTTTGGCCGCTGCAGCTTCCCGGCCATCAAACCGATCGCGGCTGTAACATGTCATCGGTCTGCCCCTATCACTACTTCCGGTGTTCCTAGTTTAGCCGCTCACACCGCCAAAACCTCGTGATTTGTTACCCACTGCTAAGTGGCCTCTGCTAGTAGATATCGCACAGCAACGCCCGTTTTTATGCTTGTTTCGGGGTGGACCGGTCGAGAATTGGCTTCCAAAACCCCGCTCGGCGCATGTTGTGGCATTTTAGAGCTGTCTACACGAAAGGAGACTAAAGCATAGTACTTGTCTCTTTACTGACCTGTGTGTCGATTGACGTGATACGTAGGTCGCATCACGGCGGGAGCTTGCACGTGTACACGAGCCAACACAGCAAGTACCCACTCTGTAGTTGTTGATAGACGGGTACAGTACGCCGGTGACACGCTGCGGTGTGAATCAAAAGCAAAACACATACATGCAAACGTCTTGAAATTTACGGAATTTCGATGAGATGCAAACCCAAGATAGAGTACGGCGCAAGAGCGAGGGGGGGGGGGGGGTACCTCCCTGGCTGACCATTGCGACCGTATCACCGGTCGTACGGTGGTGGACTCGAGACCCGGCCACACACACGCACACACGCACGTGCGATCGATCGCCAGTTCTAATATTAGTAATTGCATGCGGTGATAAAAATTGTGTCGCGGTCGAGGTGATACGCCACGCTATGGAAGAATTTGGAAGTCTTCTCGTGTTCTTTTTTGGTTTGGTTTGTCCCATTCCTCGATCGGAATGTATTCAGTGTTGGACTGGACATTGGGGCACCCACCCCTTTTCGTCGTGCCATCAACGCAAGTCGTGACGTGGATGCGCGTTGACGACGCGCGTCTGCAACGAGCGATGTTCGGACGGGCAGGCTTTTGTCGAAGAGCGGTGTAGTTGCAGAAGAGGCCGCCGCCTGCTTGCTGTGTGGCGTTTTATTTTTATTTTTTTCCGACCCGAGGACATGAACGCCACCGTCCTTTTTTCCGTAAGCTGGCTTTGTAAACGGAGCGGTGTTTGTTGGGGTGTATTTTACGGTGCGTTGTCAGGTCAGTAGTACGCTGCAAGCAGGAACATTACTAAAAAACAAAAATGTTGTGGCGGGGCGATGTGCCACCGCAGCACGGAAGTCGAGTTTGTTGCGGCCTTTGTGCGTTGTTTCTTCAGTTTGTGTGATGTCTCTTTTTGCGGCTTCCATCGTGTCACGCCGCGACATGTTACACACCCTTTCTGCCGTGCTACACGTACGTATGTTGTACCATTTTTTTCTTTTTGTTTTTGTTTCTGCAATTGGTCATCCTGTTGTTTCCTTCCTCTTCTTCGCTCCTTTTTGTGTTTGTTGTTCTTTGTGCAGCAACGCGACCTACCTTGAAGACTCCGAGACAACCGTGGAGGGGCTCAAGTTCTACGGGACTCCGTGGACGAACTCGTCCCACATGGTGAGGTCGAGCGTGGTGACAACAAAAACAAAAAAAACAGTGGCTCAGTGTCTGCTCTCAAGACTGCCGTGTAGTCGAGAACGGTTCCCTGATGGTATTGTCACTATGCTGATGTTAATAGATTGCTTGGTGTGTCCTTTGCAGAGAATGGGGGCTTGTTCGTGAGCCGCACGCTTGCTGCTGCCTGCACCATTTGTTGCCGCGCACGCGTGTGGCTTTCTCGCCCCCGTCCGTTGTTTTGTAGGTGCCCATGAGAGGCCGCCCCCCCCTCCTCCTGTTCTATTTACCCTTCTTTCACCTCGTGGCGTTTATTTTTGGGCGTACACTTTGCTTGTGATCACGGACTGTTGTAGACACGCCATTCACTATGCTTGTGATCACGGGCTGCTGTTGTGGAGATGTCTGGCGGCGAGCTCGTGTGGAGAGAAACAGACCGAAACATTTGGCGTGTATTGTAGTGTTGGCCCCGTTTCTCTCGTTCCCCGGGCGACCTCAGCTGCTACACACACGTCACGCGCACGCCCTTGTTTCTTCCGGAAAGCTCTTTGAGGCTTCCTTCACCGCTAGCCTCGACAAGAGCGCAGCGTTCAGCAGACGGCAAAACGAAACAACGAGCTTTTATTGCGTGCAAGAGAGGCACGGTGGTTTAGTAGAGTACATACCGCCGGTGGAATAATTTCACGTGCATACGGGGCTCTGAAACAGTTGATGGCCACTGCTGTCTCGACTGAGATGCCCTTGGGTCCCGTGAACCAGATGCCCGTACGCTCCTCCGTGAACCACGCTCGGAGGCAAAAAAGACGGCAAGGATGCCTCCCTACCCCGGATACACCCCGCGAAGAATCTTACACGCGGACCCACACTCCCGCACCCCGCGACTCACACTCCCGCCGAGCTGGCCCAGTCGGGTCACTCGCTCCACCCTCAACGACTAATTGCAACGACTATTGTTGTCATTGTTGTGTTGGCGTGCTTACGTTTTTCCCCCAACAGGGGTTCAGCTGCAGGGGCGCGCAGCTGGAGGGCGTGTGGTCCGCGATTCCGGAGGGCGTGGACATTCTCCTGACGCACATGCCGCCATTCAACAGGCTGGATCTTGCGTTCGACCGCGGCAGCCACGCGAAAGCGGACCCTTGCCCGGTGTGCGGAGAGACTCATCGAAGGTATGCATAGGTGGATAACACGTGTTGTTGCTTGCGTTTTTGATGGTAGATCGGCACGCGCTGTTTGCAGATACGATGTTGTTGTTGCTGCTGCTGCTGCCTGCTATCGCGGCTGAATGAGGTGGTGTTGTCGTTGTTGTTGTTTTTTGCCGGTGTTTGTTGTCGTTCGCGTTCGGCTCGCCATTACAATCTAGCCCTCAGCCGCGAAAGCCCTCACTTCTCGACTCCCCCGGAACAACCCATGCAAAAATCGTCTTTGTCGCATCCTTGGTATGAGGTATAAAAGAACCACACAGTAGTTGAAAGGCTCGTGGTAGATTTAGACCAAGCCCTAGCGTTGTGTCTGAGGCGCCAAGCCAGAGTGCGGGCGATCGTGTCCCCTTGTGCAGGAGTACCACACAGCAACGAGGTGGCTCGCCCGACGCAGGGCAGTTAGTTCACCCCCGAGCACTCGCTGAACTGAAAGGCTCCACGCTGAACCTTTGTCTTGTTGCTGTTATTTCTGCTGCTGCTGCTGCTGCTGCTGCCGCTGTCGTTGGCGGGTGCACAGCTTCGCGCACTGGGGAAGCTGGAGCCTGACGGACCGAGTGGCCGAGTTGAAGCCAAAGGTGCGCACGCCACCGCTGTCCAAGAGTGAAGCATCAGGAAAAAAGCAGCATCCCGCCCTTGTTTTTTTTTTTTTTTTTGCTCTGTCCGTTGTCAGCAGTCTGGTATTTTCGCTCAACGTCGGGGTGCCAGCCACCCTTCATATTGTCGTCTTGACAGATACGTAGCACCGGGACCCCCGCTCCGCAACCCCCCAATTCCCGGCAACAAAATTTACACAGCGAGGATCCCCCTGTACAGTAGAGCAAACAGCAGACGAGTACCACAGCAGCCTAAGTTGCTGACGTACTGCACATCAGTTGCATTGGTGTTCCAGCGGTGTTGTTTTTCCCTTGGATGGATGTAGGGTCCGGTGCCATTCGCCGCCGTAGGTTGAGCGCCAGGTCGCACGTGTAATGAGTCTTGTCCCTGTCCTCACCGCCTCCACCGCCCCCCTTTCCCTCTTCTTCTGGACAATCGGGCATGCTTGCTTGCTGATTGGCCGCCGAACAGGTCCACGTGTTTGGCCACGTCCACAACTCCCACGGCATCATCAGGAAGGACGACACCGTGTACATAAACGCCGCGCAGGACGAGAACCAGCAGCCCATATTCTTCGACATTTGGGTTTGATCGCCCAGGGTGTGGCGTTGGCGGAAGCCGTCGCTGCTGTATAGCGTGCATGGAAGCCTGCCTGCGGACCGAGCGAAAGCTCTGGGTACATAAAATATATTTTTTTAATTTTTTTTTGCGGTGCGTTTGTTTTGTTGTCTAGTGGTGGATGTTTTTAAGTGGAGAGGTCACACACCGATTGGCCGGCCTGGATAAGGGCCTTTTGGGTATTGCTGTTGCTGTTGCTGTCGCTGCTGCTGTCACCGCAGTGCAGGATGCGGTTGTCGTTGACATTCCGATTTTTCGAACGCCGAAGTAGTGGGTGCGAACCCCCCTTGTACCCCCCCCCCGGCCATTATGCTCGTGCCAAAAGTAGAGACTGCAAGGAATTGCCGTTTCGCGTTGGCAGCAGTTATTTTTTGCCTGTTGAATTTAACAAAGAAGCCGAGCGCCCCGTTTGGTGCTAAAATGGTGCTGGGCACCCATCTCAGCAAGAATTGATCTATTTTGTCGGAGGGGTAACACAACCGGAGCGACATTGTGCGGATCGTAGATAAGCGTAGCGTAGTCTGGTATTCTCTCCCAGAGGACAGCCAGGCACAACATGTGCGTGCCGATTTTTGCTCTTTGGTGGTGTTTGCGTATGATCGTGGGGTACGGGCACGGGGAGCACGTGGTAATGACCCGAGGGAGGTAGCGGAAGCGATGGGGTGTGTAGGATCTTTGTATATTTTGGACTTCCGCCGCCGCCGTCGCCGCCCGAAGATAGTGAAGTCACGGATGTGGATACGGCGGCAGAAGCAGCAGCAGCAGCAGCAGCAGCAACGTGTGTGAGTGTACCCTGAGAGATGTGATGTGGAGTGTTTTGTGTGTGTCTTGTTAAAACACGCGGTCCGCCGTCTCCGGCGTGCTGCGTTGTCGCGTTTGACACGCGTGTCGCTTTGGGTGTCTTTTGGGATGCGGAGTATTTTCACGTTGTATACGGCATGTTCTCTCTCGCGAGAGGAAGAAGAGGGGAGGGGAGTGTTGGGAAACGACCGTGCTTTTCGAATCTTTGCCACTTGCCTCACTTAGCCCTGTCAATGCAACAGCTGAACGCGCTTCACGCACGACCGGCACAGTGCCCGCAGAGGTAGCAGCGCAGCGGCTACGTGGGATACGCCGCTATATCCGAAGGGGAGCATCATCGCCATGCAGCCTATAGGCTGCGGCGGCAGAACGCGGCAACGGCCGCCGAGTCTTTTGGCTGAGAAATTGACTGTCGTGTCTTGTTGCCCTACAATCCTCTTGTCGAAATTACTATTTTCTAGAAAAAAAACATCAGTACCAAAGAGTGTGGAATGCTGTTGAAGCGCAACACAACATGACATGATGGAAAGTGTGTGTTCACTTGAGCATATGCACGGCTTGGTGTATTGGGCGAAGCAACGAGTTCTAGTTCGTTCATCAGGGGAGACCGAGAGACCCCCCCCCCCCCCCGTCCAGTACCCTTGGTGTGAGTCGACCTGCGGGAATTATCGTCTGTTTCAAACGCGTACCACAGTTATGATGAAAACACACAGCGTCTGATGACTTTTTCATTGCCCAGCCGGTTAGCGCCGTCGAAAGTAGGCCGACCGAATGATTTTCGAGTCTGTTGGACGTCATGTATTCATCGGACGGAGCACAATCAAATCCCAACCAGGAATTATTTAGTCCGACTTCACCAAGAGTAGTCAATCGTAGAAATAGGGAGATTCCACACAAACCTCGACTGCGAGAGCCCACATGTTGAAACGGTTTGCAGACTTTTCGTGAACCCGTTTCTCCGAGCTTAAAGCGAAACCAAAGCCCTGGGAACGAACGAAACAAGATACACGCCCCTTTTGCATGTCTCCATTCAACACATGCTGGCGATGTACATGTGGTAGGGTGTTCGTTGACGACAAGCAACCCACGCTGCCGGGGCGGGCGATCGATGCACATACACAACTGTCCAATGATGATCGTCTTCTTCACGACGTTTGTTTAGAGACGGCGGCCGTGTCGCCATTTCGAACACAAGCATGTTGAACCCATTCTATCTATGTAGGTGCGCATATACCAATTCCACTCCAACACAAGCATGTTGAATCAACCCGTTCGTTTACAGGTAGGTACGAATGCACACGCCAGTATCAATTTCATTAGAACTGAACCATGTTGCACCAACCCGTTTTACACATGAAGTATGCAAATACCAATTCTACACTTACCAACGCGGCTGGTGGCTCTTTAGAACGTTGGAACCCGCGAAACACGCACCGCCTACTGTCGTCTACTAGTATTGTAGGTTGTCTCGGGGGGCATTCAAGCCTGACATGAAAAATCCAAACATAGTTTGCGTCTGAGAGTGTCGTACATAGCAGCACCGTCCGCTATGGCTACGCACCAACGTGATGTCGCATATATAGCCCTCAACACCACTCTCCGAAAAGTAGCGTTTGGTCCTACAGAACAACGCGCTGCCGCTAGCTTGGCGGAGATGAAAACCGAGGGATTCTCGTCGTTCTAGCAACAACGCTTACCTAGCAACAAGACGCAAAAAATTAGCTGACATGAAGAGACAAAAAGTGTGGCATAGAAAACCAGGGCGGACCCAATACACAACCTATCGCTGTATAGACTAAACCAATTCATGGGGCAAATTACTCATAACACAAGTCGCCACCATCACCGCCACAACCTGGCCCACTCGCAAGGTCTACCCAAAAGGACACAGCGGTCAGAACTACTCAGACAGAAGGGAACAACCAAAGATACCCAAAAAATTTGCCCCATATACACAAGCAGTGTCGAGCACAACCCGTCTTGATGGATTGAAACGCTGCCGGCGACACAAAGTCAAGTACTGTACCCAGGTATATACTAAATACTTTTTTAGCACCACGGAACACAGCCCCACGACTCCCGATCCCACGGAACACAGCCTTACGATGCCCGGTCCAAAGAAAGCGCGCCAAAACTTCACACGCAGCGGTTCATGCTGAACGCTCTCTCCCGCATTATATGTAACCCAAAAAGAGACACGGACTAGACCCATGTTAGCCCGCTTCGGGGGGGGGGGGGGGGGGGGGGGGGGGGAAGGGGGGAAAAAAAAAACCCGGGGAAAGACCCCCTTTCCCCAAAAAAAACCGGGGGGGGGAAAAAAAATTTTTTGGCAAAAACTTTTTTTTTGGGCCCCCCCAAAGTTTTAAAGAAATGGGGTAAAAAAATTTGTCCAAGGGCCCCTTTTTGGAGCCCCGGAAAAAAAAATTTTTAAATGAAAGGGAAAAACAAAAATTTTTTTCCAAACCCCCCCCGTTTAAAAAACCTTTGCCCCCAAAATTTAAAAAAAAAAAAGGGGGGGTAAAAACCAAAAATGGTTTTAAAAAACCCCGTTGGCCCCCCCCAAAAAAAAGGGGGCAAAAAAAACGGGAAACCCCCCCCCCCCCCTTCAAAAAACAAAAAA